AAGAGCATTATCTAACACTGGATTTGTCCTGGACAAGTGAAGACAGGAGCAATTCACAAGTCCCCCTCTGTCTTCAGTTTCATGCCTCAGCGCCCCAGGTGGAGTTTGTGTCACAATCAGCATACTTCTCTTGCGGCAGGAAGTAATTAAATTCACCCTTAAATCAACTAAAACATGGTCCAAACGTCTCCGGGTGGACACACTGCCCCTGCGTGGCGGGGCAGAGGAGCAGCAGGCAGCTGGGAGGAGGCTTAGCCACGATCTATTAAAATAAGTCAACAAGAAATGCCTGCATCTCCACCGTACACTACTGTAGACGGCACGTAACAGTCATAGCTCTGTTCCTCTGTAGCTCATGAAAAAAGTTAGTTACCTGCTTAAGTAGAAGAACAAGCTACGTTTTAAGTCTGTCGGCTTTCTTTTTCAAGAGTCAGCAGAGGCTGCTTTTGGACACAGTTAAGCATTGGTCGCACCCAAGCTGCTGCCTTCCTCCACCAGCAGCTCCTATCAACGCGACTGCTGGAGAAGCCACAATGCCTGCCCCCCGCGTTTCCAAAGGAGCTGGTCCACGGGGGCAGCAGGGCTCAGCTCTAGTCCAGGCGCGGCCCCTTTCGGACAAGTGACCGTGGACCGGTTTACACCAACACACCGCCCACGACGGGCAGGCAGGGCCGGGGTGCGGCCAGCGCCAACGTGGGCGTCTGGGAACACACACCCGAGAAGGCAGCTCCGAGCCGTCGGGGATCGGCGGCCCCAAGCGCTGCGGAAGGGAAGAGGCGACCCCGCTCCCCCCACGGCCCCCGCCTGCCTCACCCACGCCCCTCGCCCCGACCCCTTCGCGCAGGCGCGTGGAGGAGGGACGGCGAGGTGGGCCGGGGATGGAAGAACCGACCCTTCCCGGCCCCGCTTCCGCATCTCTTCCCAGGCCTCCCGATCCCTATTCGGTCGCCTCCTCCGTCCGCGGAAGCGAGGCCTGGGCTTTAGGAACCATCCGGGCCGAGTGCCGGGGATAAGACTCCATCTCAGTCCCCACCACTGGCGGTCAGAACAGGTTCCATCTCTGCAGAGAGCCGAGAGCAGGCTCTTCTCAAACAGCAGACCCACCTCTTTTGAGTCTTCTCCGCCATGGTTTGGCCCCCTCTCCAATTGGAACCCAGATCGACACAAGCGCCTGAGAAAAGCGATGATCTCGACAAGCGATTGGATAGCCTGGCAGGATTGGAAGGGGGCGGGGCCTGCCCGCGTGGGCGGGGCCAGAGTGGGGCTCGCCCCTCCTCTGCTGCCTGGGTGAGTCGGCTTGTTCTGGGAGGAGGTGTATGGTCACCCGCTGATTTCAACTCAATCTAGGGATCGATAGACTCAGATTTAAAACGGTCATTTAATCCAATCCAACAATCATCATTATGACCTCATTATACCCCGCCATTCATTTTCAGTCTTCTTTCCAGTCTCCATTCTTTAAGATTCTTCCTGCTAGACCTTTGGGCCCCTTTCTTGTTCAGTGAGTTTACCTCTTCCTCGATGAGGTCATCAATCCTATAAATTAAGTACCTTTACCTGCTGGCTTTCTCGGGTTAATCCTTTACTGCACTTCACGCCTGATTATTCAATTGCCTACTGCCTCAAAGTCTTATCAAACCTGGAAAGTCCAGAACGGATTTATGTCTAGCCCTCTCTTCAACCAGTTGGTCCTTTGATCTCCATCTCAGTAAAGCAAGCATGTCAAACTCAAAGGCTAACACGGGCCAAATAAACAAGGTTTAAGTTTATGTGGGCCGCAAAAAAACAAAAGCTTCAATTTTCATAGAAACGTAGGTTTATTTCAATAGAGACATGCTGAATACAAAGGACTGAAATAAATGAGTAATCGTTAACATAAAATAATAGAACGTTTTAATAAAAATGAATATTTTTCCTTGAACATTAACTTACCAGGCACTGAATAGCTGCACAAATTAATAAGCGTAACGCAAGTAAACCAGTTTTCTTGTTCTCCGAAAGCGAAATATTTCGTGTTGTGCACACCAAGCAAGTCAGTACAAGACTAATTGTGAAGGAAAACCCCTATTCTGTAAAATTACTGTTTGGAATTCTCTGCTATTCTTTGGACGGCCTCTATCTAATTCTGAAAAAAAGTAACTTTGCTTTCTAGCCTGCTTGAATAATGGGGGAGATAAACTTAGCTGTCTGACCTTGTAGGCCAGAGACTAGATGCACCCAAGGCCATGTCAGGTGCATTTTTTAATTGATAGAACTGTATAGTTTTCAAGGCCGCCGCCAGCAAGCGCACAAAGGGCTGGCTCTTCCATAAAAAGGGAAGTTCTGCTTGTAGCTTTGCTTAGAATTTGGATTCATTTCCCTGAGCCCACCGCGGTGAATAAAGTGTAACTCCAAACTCTCAGAGCGCTGTTTGGTTCTTGTCCGGTTTTTCTGTAACATAATGAGGTGGCAGTTGGCTGCTAAAATATTTGCTGCTAGTATTAGTAGAGAGAAATGGTGCGCCTGCGCAGAAGGCACAGAAGGGAAATGAATGCAATACGATTCTAGTAATCAGTCATTAGCGAGCATTGTAGTTCGTTATTAATAATTATGTATAACAGGATATTGTAAAAATTAAGTTATGAAATTTTTATTAAAATGTTTCTTACATACCGTTATATTGGCTGGGCCGCAAAAATACTCATTGTGGGCTGCATGCGGCCCGTGGGCCACGAGTTTGACATGCTTGTTCTAGGCACGCCTCACCTCTCCATCTATAATTCACCAGCAAGTTCTGCTGGTCCTATATCTGGTGTCTGTCATGCTTCCACTTTGCATCATTTACTCTATCACCTCTCTAATGTAATCTCAGCTCCCCTATTGTCTGCTCCTTCCATCCTTCACCTTTAAAGTCACCCCACCACGCCCACCTACACCCCATCCAAGCCTGTAGTTAAAATCATCCTTTAAAAATCAAATCCAGTTTGGTTTTTACTTCCTATTCCTTTTAAAATCCAGGCCAGCCTGGGTTGCTCAGTGGTTGGGCCTTGACCTATGAACCAACATGATTTGATTCCTGGTCAGGGCACATACCTGGGTTGCAGGCTTGATCCCCAGTGTAGGGCATGCAGGAGGCAGCCAATCAATGATTCTCTCTCATCATTGATGTTTCTATCTCTCTCTCCCTCTTCCTTCCTCTCTGAAAAAAAAAAATTAAAAATAAAATCCAAACTTCTTTCCATAACCAATCTCTGGCCTAGATCCTACACTTGCCTACTTCTCTCTTCTTTAATTTCATGATCCTCTTCCTCTTTCTCTAATCACACTTTCATTCTCAAAGAAGCCAAGTTGACTTTCCACCCCAGATGGCTTCCACCTGTCCGTTGCCCCACTCCCTTTTGACCCTTTATGTCTCAGATGTCACATACTCCGTGTTTCAGGCTTTTTTCATTACAGTTGGTGTCAGTAAAGCAGAATTTACTAGAATCCTGGACATATGATTTGGGAAGAGAAAGTATAAAAGGGTGGGGGATGAAGAACCTTTGACCCCTTATGGCTACTGTCAAAGGTAGTTGGTGCCAATTCAAAGCCAACAGGAATTCTCAGTTTGGAGTGCGGTGAAGAAGGAAACTTCATGGAGCTCCAGGGCAATACAGCATGGCTGTACCAGTAAAAACAGCACTACTGTGAAACAGCTAAGTAGTACAGCAAGGTCGTGAGGCTGCTTCGGGGCCAGGAGGCCCTGAGGTCAGGCCCCCTTTCAGCTAGGCAGCTCTGCTCCGCTCCACCTGGGGAAAGGTAGTCTTCAGTGAAAATTGAAACCCTGGAGCCAGAGGGGAGCTGGCTTATATAGACACAAGTCCCCGCCCCTGGTCAGAATGGAGCCACTCTGATTGGTCAGAACTGTGGGAAAGTCTCAGTCTTATTGGTTGAAACAGGACTGGAACTCCTCTATAAGGGCTGACTCAGATGGCAGAAACAGTGTAGGCAGGTGGTTTAATGCAGAAGCAGACAAGTTGAGCAGTGGTTCTCAACCTTGGCTGCACAGTAGAATCGCCTGGGAATCTTTTTAAAATCCTGATTTCTGGGCCAGGATTTTAAGAAGATTCCCAGGTGATTCTACTGTGCAGCCAAGGTTGAGAACCACTGAGTTAGAGGCTTCTCTGCCTTTTTCTTAACAAATATTTACTGAGTACATAGTATGTGCCTAGCATTGTTCTATGTGCTGGGGATACAGCAATAAGCAAAACAAAGGCTTTTCCTTGTAGAGCTCCCATTTGTAGCAGGGGACAGGTAATAAACTGAGAAGTAGATTTATAAAGGGGTGGTAACAGATACTATGAAAAAAAAGAGCCCTAGCCGGTTTGGCCTGCAGACCCAAGGGTCGCGGGTTCAATCTGGTCAAGGACCCTACCTCAGATTCAGGCTCCATCCCCAGCACCAGTCAGGGCGCATGCAGGGAGCAACCAATTGATATGTCTCTCTCACATGGATGTTTCTCTCTTTCTCTTCCCCTCCCTTCCACTCTCTTAAAAAAAAATGGAAAAAATATCCTCAGGTGAGGATTTAAAAAAAAGAAAAAGAAAAAAGAACATAAGGAGGGCAGTGGGAGTTGGGAGGGGGGATCTTCTTACTCTTTGAGAACTCACCTCCCTTCCTCATACTCATGTCCTTGTTCCCCTTGCCCCAGTCTGCAGAATTGTCTGTTCACAATTGGAAAATAAGATTTTTCCTTAACTTAGTGAAGAAAATATGACAGTCAGATGGCTGGAAAGACAAATACTGTGATATGTAAACTAAACAAAACCAGAACTTTTGAAAGCAGTGTTTTTAGTACATGTCATTATTAAGTAAGATAACCACAAATAATGTTTTGGTTTCTATAGTGCAGTTCCTTTTATCAGAAAACCAACGTTTATGCTGTTACCCCTAGTGCTTTTGTTTGCCTTTTGCTCGCCCAGGCCTTCCTGTACCTTATAAAAAGACCAGAGAGCCTGGTCGAGGATTCTGCTGCAGGACGGCACCAGTCAAGGACTCTGGAAAGGACAGTGTCTTCTGTGCCAGCTCATAATGGGTTGGCTTCGGCTGTTTTTCCTCCATCCCGTCTCACTTTATCAAGGGACTGCTTTTCCCTTTGCACTTCTATTTAATTATCTCTGCAGTATGGATTCATTTTCCACTCATGCCAGGTAGGTGTGATGGCTGATTTTGTCCATACATCTATGAATGTTAGAGTAGGTCAAATAGCATAGATTGCAGTGCAGATGTGAAGGTCTATATTATAAAAACCCAGTAGCCCTAACGCCATAATGACCAAAGACTGGCGTAGGTGGGCGGGGCTGCGCAATTTCACTCACTGGGCTTCTAGTTAAATATAATCACACTTTTATTATTATTATTATTATTGATTTCAGAGAGGAAGGCAGAGGGAGTGAGAGATAGAAACACCAATGATGAGAGAGAATCATTTTTGTACTTTAAATATTTTTTTATTTTTTAATTACAGCTGACATACAATATTATATTAGTTTCAGGTGTGCAACCCAGTGATTAGGCATAATATAACTCACTAGGTTAGAACCCCAATAAATCTGGTACCCATCTGACAGCATACATACTTATTATAATATTATTGACTATATTCCCTATGCTGTATATCCCAAGGTCACTAAAGCAGGAGTCAAGATTGATCTCCTGGGGTAATCGTTCACAAATGGACTCTGGCACTTTCTCCCGTGGTCCTTGCCTTCAGAAGAACCAAAGGCAGGTTTGGGAGTGATAACAGTATGACTTCGTTAGGTGTTCTGTGAGGCCTGCTTCAACTGAGTCACCCAGAGTGACATCTGAAGCGGCTCATGTGTCGCACTCTTCTCAGTCAGTCTCACGGGCTGTCTGTCCTTCTTTCAGGCACCTCTTTCTCCTGGCTGGAGGAGGGGCCCTGGCCTTGGCTGCTATGGGTTCCTTTGCTGTGCTTGTCTTCATCCCTGCTCTGGGCACGGTGGTTCTGATCTACTCACTCGGCCCACAGGAGGTCCACAGGTGGACTTTCTTCTTTCAGATGAGCTGGCAGACGCTGTGTCACCTGGGTTTGCACTATACTGAGTATTATCTGCAGGAACCTCCTTCCACAAGGTAAAGCAGTTCAGCCATGTGCTTGTACTGAGCCGTCCAAGGGGGTTGTTTGCACTGTGGTAGCAGAACTGGGTGTTGAGCTTGAATCCAAATTCTTCCACATTGGAGCAGTGTGACCTTGAGCAAGTCATTTAACCTCTCCCGGCATCAGTTTCTTTTTCTGAAGGAAAAAAAAGTGTGTGGTGGTGGTGGAGTGTAAAAAAAAACCCCTATCTTGCAAGACCCTTTCTTATGTTAGAGATAATGAATTAAATGTAATTATATGACTGTTAATAACTACCGTGTGTCACCTATGAAGCATAGTCTGGCACTTAGCAGTAATTACCATTGTGCCAGAGAAGGAGGCTGACCCAGGAGTCCCAGGGCACACAGACGAGGCTGCCGGGAAGTGACTAAGCCCAGTTTGCTCACCTCGTGTGGGTGGTTTAGACACGCAGCCAGCAGCCTGCCCTCCCCTTTAGCAGGACAGGGAAGGTATAAATCCTTTGCCGCCTTCCCATGGCACCTGCTGTGCAAGAGTTGTACTGTCATTGGGACTTACCTTTCCATCCTCTCAGAAGAAGGAAAGAAAAAATCTAGAAAAGAAAAAATTGGTGCTAATTACAGCCTAGAGAAGTGTTTTCATGAGTCAGTGATATCACCAAGATTAGGGGGAAGAATATCGCTGCGATCTTGAGGCCTATTTTTTGGGCTCCCTCTGTTAGCACAATCGATATGTGTCCATGGTCAGTCAGAGAAATGGGGCTTTGACCTGTCGAGGTGGGTCACCTCTCTGATTCCAGCCTGTCATTGGTTCACTCACTTTGCCAACCCTACCAAACTCAGAATCCTTTTGTTTATTTCTGTTTTACCAAAGCCTCAGGGTTTGCTTCTCTGAAGAAAAGGCAAGATGGCAGGTGGATTGGGGGGGTGGGGGTGGGGGGAGATACTGATGGGGGTGTGATGGAGTAGGATTGCAGTAGGAGGAACAAGTTGAGCAGGATCTGGCCCGACAGGAGCAAGGCTGGGCCAGAGCTGAAATGGGAAGGTGTACTAGTTTGCGCTGACTATCATAACAAAATACCACAGACCGGGTCGCTTAAACAACAGAAATTTATTTCCTCTGGAGGCTGGAAGTCCAAGATCAAGGTGTTGGTAGGTTCAGCTTCTTCTGAGGCCTCTCTCCTTGGTTTGCATAGGGCCACCTTCTCCCTGTGCCTTCACATGGTCTTCCCTCTGTGTGTCTGTGTCATAATCTCCTCTTCTTAGAACAGTGGTTCTCAACCTTGGCTGCACATTAGAATCACCTGGGAATCTTTTGAAAATCCTGATTTCTGGGCCTCATCCTCCGGAAATTCTGTTTCTTTGTTACTAATGTTGTGGCCCCACCCCATAACAAAGAAACAGAATTTCCGGAGGATGAGGCCCAAAAATCAGGATTGTAAAAAGATTCCCAGGTGATTCTAATGTGCAGCCAAGGTTGAGAACCACTGTCTTAGAAGGATAACAGTCATATTGGATTAGGGCCCACCTTAATGACCTCATTTTAACGTAATTACCTCTTTAAATACCCTACCTCCAGAAACAGTCACATTCTGAGGTGCCAGGGTTAGGACTTCAACATGTGAATCTGTAGGGCACACATTCAGCACTTACCAGAAAGTGAGTGAACAGGGGTTGTGGCATTTGGAGGCTACTTGGCTTACTGTTAGGATAAATCAAATGAGGTCAGTGGTCCTTAAATCCTGACACACAGATAAGAACAACAGTGATTAGGAAACATGCTATTTTCTCTCCATAGGACAGCATTCCTGATCGTCAAGTATGTCACTAATTTTCATTTTCTCCACAACAATCTTGCCAGTGGGATCTTCTCCACTTTGTGATGGTGAAGCAGGGACAGTTCAAGTGATTGGTTAAGACAGTGATGGCGAACCTTTTGAGCTCGGCGTGTCAGCATTTTGAAAAACCCTAACTTAACTCTGGTGCCGTGTCACATATAGAAATTTTTTGATATTTGCAACCATAGTAAAACAAAGATTTATATTTTTGATATTTATTTTATATATTTAAATGCCACTTAACAAAGAAAAATCAACCAAAAAAATGAGTTCGTGTGTCACCTCTGACGCGCGTGTCATAGGTTCGCCATCACTGGGTTAAGAACATATCTCAGTTGTTAATGACTCAGCGCACACACTGAACCTCTAGCTCGATTCACCATTCCTCAGCACAGATCGCCAGCAAAAGTCAGGGATTGGCCTGGCCGGTGTTGCTCAGTGGTTGAGCATCAACCCATGAACCAGGAGGTCACTGTTCAATTCTGGGTCAGGGCACATGCCTGGGTGGCAGGCTGAATCCAAAGTAGGGGGTGTGCAGAAGGCAGCTGATCAATGATTCTCTGTCATCACTGATGTTTCTCTCTCTCTCCACCTCTCCCTTCTGCTCTCTGAAATAAGTAAACACATGTTTTTTAAAAAGGTCACGGTTGTTTCATTTTTACAATCTTCAACTTTCTATATTCTTTTCACTACTTTTTGTTGCTTCTATGGCAAATTTCTCCCAGGCCCCTGGTCCTAATCTTTATAAGCCATTCTTAGAAATATTGTAATCAATACCTCCCCACAATATTCCTTGTCATTCTCTTATCTGCCTCTTTCACCGATTAATTTCCCCATTTATCTTTTGATTCTTCCCGGAGTAGCTTGTGGTTCTGAATTAACTCAAGAGTCTTTGTGGGGGTATTCCAGGCCATGAGATTGGTCTTAATTGTTCAGAACCCCCTATTTGCTTGTGGGGTCATGTGTGAGGGGCTGGAATGGGATAAAATATATGTGGAATGTTTTTTACATGAAAAACGCTATCTCTTTCAGGTTCTGCATCACTCTTTCTTCCCTCATGCTCTTGACCCAGAGGGTAACATCCCTCTCTCTGGACATTTGTGAGGGGAAGGTGGAGGCAGCATCACGAGACATCAGGAGCAGGAGCTCTTTGTCTGAGCATCTGTGTAGGGCACTGCCCTATTTCAGCTACTTGCTCTTTTTTCCTGGTCTCCTAGGAGGCCCTCTGTGTTCTTTCCAGAGATTTCAGGCTCGTGTTGAAGGGTTCAGCTCTGTGTGTCCCAGGTACTCCTTCTGGGCTTTCATCTGGAAGGGTCTGCAGATTCTGGGACTGGAGTGCCTAATGGTGGTCATGAGGTGGGTGGTGAGTGCAGGAGCCGGTCTGGCCGACTGCTGTCAACTCCAGTGCATCTATGTCATGTGGTCCACCGCTGGGCTCTTCAAACTCACCTACTACTCCCACTGGCTCCTGGATGACTCCCTCCTCTGTGCTGCGGGCTTTGGATCTGAGTTTGGCGAGAGCCCTGGCGAGGAGGGATACCTCCCTGATGCGGACATTTGGATGCTAGAAACAACCCACAGAATATCCCTGTTCACAAGAAAATGGAACCAAAGCACAGCTCGGTGGCTCAGACGCCTCATATTCCAACAGGGCAGGGCCTGGCCGTTGTTGCAGACATTCACCTTCTCCGCCTGGTGGCACGGACTCCACCCAGGACAGGTGTTTGGTTTCCTTTGCTGGGCTCTGATGGTGAAAGCTGACTACCTGATTCACACCTTTGCCAATTTGTTTATCAGATCCTGGCCCATGCGGCTACTCTACAGAACCCTCACCTGGGCCCACACCCAGCTCATCATTGCCTATATAATGCTGGCCGTGGAGGGCAGGAGCCTCTCCTCTCTCTGGCTGCTGTGTAATTCTTACAACAGTGTCTTTCCCATGGTGTACTGTATTTTGCTTCTTCTATTAGCAAAGAGAAAGCATAAAGTTAACTGACATCTTTCCCCAGCCTTCATTTTAGACATCCATGAAACAGAATTTACAAAGTGCCAGATGGTTGTTGATGATAAAAATATTTGAACGTTTTCATAATAAAAGTTTTTTTTAAATATTAAATATACCTGATGTCTTGCTATAGAAATTTGTGTATCTGCTTTAACAAGCTATTATAATGGATCCACAAAAGAAAAAGCCATGGTTTCTCCCCTTAGGGTTTACAGTTTTGGTGTAGAAGCAAAGTTAGAGCAATACATAAAAACTTAAGCTACTGTGAGCCAAATGGCAAATGGTATATGCATGGACATCCAAAAATTGAGTGCTAGCGGTCTGCTTGATCCTGGAATGTGAGTTTAGCAAGACAACAACAAAACAGTATCTAAGTCATACTATACTGATTTGTCCTGATCGCTGGCCTCCCACTTTTTATCAGCCAAATTACCCTGAAGGGTTTGCTAGGGACCCTTATAGACCCACAAGGGATTTCATTAAGTTGTTTAAAAGTATTGTGTGAGATTCTGGAGATTAAGAAATCTCTGGACATGGGCCCAGCTGGCATGGCTCAGTGCTTGAGCGTCGACCTATGAAGCAGGAGGTCATGGTTCGATTCTGGTCAGGGCACATGTCCAGGTTGCAAGCTCGATCCCCAGTGTGAGGCATGCAGGAGGCAGTCAATCAATGATTCTCTCTCAGTGTTGATGTTTCTATCTCTCTCTTCCTCTCCCTCTCTGAAATCAATAAAATATTTTTAAAAAATCTCAAAATGGGACAAGCCATATTGAAAGGCTCAGAATGCTAGCAAAGGTTAATTAGAAAACATTTGACAAAGTCACAAAATTTGCCTTCCTAAGAGGACCAAGGAACAATAGAGACCACTTGTGTATTGAATGGCACTGGCAAGACAATACTTTCAGGGATCATTTCTATCGCCTGAAATGGCATTGCCTAGTAAATGTTCCATGAAGACTTCATGTCATCTCTTGACCTATTACTTTGGATAAGCCAGGCTCACAGGGCAGCTCTGTTTCCCGATGCACAGAGAGCCACATGCCAGTGCTGGCCTTACTGTTGGCTGCCACTGTGACCAAGAGGCAGCCAGTGGCTCTAAATAGGTAGTCCAGGCTTAGCATCCACCCCACCTGTTAAACTTCTCTGAAGGAGGCAATCCACTCGTGTTTTTTCCTACCCAAGTAGTTTTTATAAAGCAGACACAGGGAAAGTTCACCGATATACATCCAGCCTGTTGACTCATCAATCCTTGTTCAATTCCACGACATGGGAAAGGAGCCTCAGATGGAGAGTTTTGAGTTTGTCCTGGCAAGTATTAGATCTTCCCACTAGGGAAGTGCCAAGAAGGCCAAGTTCTACTTCTTCCCAAAGGATGCTACTCAGCCCAGGTGCCTGATCTCCTGGCAGCAGTGAGCTGTCTCTCTGGTCACCTCAGAGGCCCTGGCAGCCAGCTGCTGAGACCAGTTTGGTGGTGAAGCAGGTTCTGTAGGTGTGAAAGAACAGACTTGACACTGTACTCATAGGAGCACTGTAGAGGCCAACAGATTATGGGCATTGCAATGACCAATTGCTATAAAAGGACAAATGGCAATCATTAGTAATTTATCCGGATTAAAATGCCAATTACTAGACTATAGATTCAAGTCACTTCCAACAGACTCTCCTTTACATGTTTGTAACAACAGACGGTGTGGAAAACTTGGTTCCCTATGATTTCAGGGTTTGGCACTAACAGGTGAAGGGGCAGTGATTATATTTATGTGACCTTTCTCAACTTCGCCTATTTCCAAAGCATCTAAAAAGAAATGCTCTAGTAAAATGTGTACTGCCACTTCAGTATTTGATCCCTAATCATTGTTCATTGTGATGCTAGCAAGGCAGCCCTGTGGTGAAGTGGCCAGAGCACCTGTCCAGGAGGCAGAGGGTGTGGTTTAGTCCCAAGCTAGCACTAAGTAGCTGTGTGACCCTCTCCAGGCCCAAGTTTCCTAGTGTAACAACACAAGAGGCAGATAAATAGCAGCCTTTACTCTCAAACCCAAAGGCATTATGATTATGTAAGTGCTTTGTCAATTTTTTAGCACAGGAAAGAGTAAAGCATTTTCCTCCCAACCTGCATTTACTTAACCAGCAAGAATTTTACAGGAAGAAATAAACTTGCCGAGTACCTAAGGTCTTTATAAACAACTGGCATATTAAATTTCTTAACACTTATTTCCCACCATATAAAAATAACAAAGTCATATTTTTGTGGCTCATTAAAAACCTGAAAGAGTATTTCTCTAGTACCAATAAAACTCCATTAACTACTCTGACTTTCCCTTCCTGAAAAATAGTTTTTTAATTTCTCAGTCTATATTTGGCAGATAATTGTTGAATACTAGTAATATTAATTTGCTTTGGGCCTCATGTCCTGGAACGATGTGTAAGAATAGCTTGAGATGCCAGATTATTTCTAAGGAAGTATCTTTGCCTCCCTTGGTTTTTACTGCATCTATTTTTTTAGAACCACTTGTTAAGCTATAATTGAGAGCCATATATTTATGTATATAATACAGGTGTTACCTTAGTTTAGTTGCATGGCCAACCTGAGTTATGTTAAATCGAGTGACTTAGATGAATTCACTAGTGTGAAGATATACGGGTGGCATTTTCTGACATCCTCAACTTACTAATGGGATATTTTCTACAACTTTGCCTCTAAATTGTTTGGAATTTAGATTGCATTTTCCTATAGAAAGAACATTATGTTGACTCCTACTGGGTGACACTCGTAATGATCTGAATTCAAGGTCACATTGTTCAGGATAGAAGGAAAGAACAAAGATAAAATCCTCCTCATTTCTTAAATTATAAGTGAACCTAAGCACCTTTTATTTCCTAATTTTTCCTATTTATACAGTTATGTAAATGTGTGGACTTTGTTTAGATCCTGATTCAAAGTAGCCAACTATAAAAGGGCATTTATAGGGGAAATTAGAACACTAACTGGATACTATAGCATTATTTTTAATTTTTTCAGGTGTAATAATATTTGTTAAAAAACGGTCACATTTTAGGGATACTCACAGATGAAATGATATCATGGATTTGCATTTAAGTAATCTGGGGTATGGCAAATAGGGGACACACAGATAAAACAGACAGGACACGGTAAAAATTGTTGAACCTGAGTGATGGAGATATGGGAGTTCAACATATTCTACTTTTGTGTAGGTTTGAAAATTTACATGTAAACAAGTATGCAAAAGACTACTGGGTACCAATGGCAGAGGAATTTCCCTTCCCCAATATCTTATGAAAATAATAAAAACTGTAAAAACCACTGTGATGAGTATCCTCTAAGATAACCCCCAATGATCCTCTTCCTGGAATTCACATTCTCCCACATCCAACCACCATTGGTCTGTGTGACAAATATTACCTGACAGAGGTGATGGTACATCATCTCTAAGATTAGTTCACAAAAGATAATGCAGTTTACCAGTTAATCTTAGCATCTTCACCTTTTGACATTTTCTTCACTGCAGACCAGTTATACACCTCTGACCTACTCTCTATCTCCCCAAGACAGTAAGTTTCTGAGCTTTTAAAAATTGTTCTTCCATCTAGAATGTTCTTGCTCAGATCTACATGTGGCCACTCCTTCACATAACTCATGTCTCTGCTCAAGTGACACCTCACCAGGGAGAACCACATCATCTAAAATAAACGCCCTCACCCTAGCTGGTTTGGCTCAGTGGATAGAGCGTCGGACTGCAGACTGAGGGATCGATTCGGGTCAGGGGCACGTAACTTGGTTGCAGGCTCAATCTCCTGCCCTGGTCAGGGCTCATGTGGGAGGCAACCAATCGATGTGTCTCTCTCACATCGATGTTTCCCTCTGTCTCTACCTCTCCCTTTCACTCTCTAAAAATCAATGGAAAAATATCCTCTGGTGAGGATTAACGACAACAAAATCTACTGTTTATCTATAGTTAAATAAAATAAAGGCCTGGATAGAGTTTCCTAAACAGGAACAAGGAAAGACATGGAAACCATGCAAACATACTTTGTACTTTAGGTTTGAGAGAGAATATGGGAATATGGCATCAGAAAAGCTGAAATATTTAGGGATATAGTAAAATGACTATAAGACCTGTACAGTAAAAACTATAAAATGTTTGCTGAGAAAAATTAAAAACCAAAATAGATTGAGATATACTGTGCTCATCAACTGAAACACTCACTCTCTATGTGGCAGATTATACTTTTGAAAGATGGATATCATAATATATTCCCTTCCATATGCTTTTTTACAAAATAACATTGACACTTTTCCCATTGAGTGTTTATGGCTGTTTCCCTTGAAACTGGGCGAGGGGAAGGTGACTTTTTGACTAGCTTGACCAACAGATTATGGCAGAAGTGATGCTATAAGTCTTCCAAAGTATGTCATAAAACTGCCACACACTTATGAATAGTTTTCTTGGGACATCTGTTCTAGTCTGGCCATCATGTTGTGAGGAAGCCAAATGTCCACAGAGAGCAAGTGAAACAAAGGCGCCTGGCCCTCGTCCTGGCTGAGCTCCCATGTAACAGCCAACACCAATCTGCCAGCCACGTAGGTAGCCCATCTGGAAGAGGATCCACCAGTCCCAAGTTGAGCCACCTCAGCTGACCTCATGGAGCAGAAATGAACCTTCACTGTTAGGCCCTGCCCAATTTGCTAATTTGTGTGCTTTATAATTGGTTGATTTAAGCCAATAGCTTTGAGAGTGGTTTGTTATGCAGCAATAGTTAACTTAAGATTTTAATTCTCCTCCAATTTGATTGGTAGATTCAATGCAATCCCAATCAAAATCCCAGAGGCTTTTTAAAAACAGAAATTGACAAAGCTAATTCTAAAGTTTATATAAATGTACTAAAAACTTAGCATAGATAAACAATTTTGGAAAAACTGAAGAATAGGCAGGCTTACTAAAAAGCATCAGTAGATTCACACTTACATGGTTAATTTTTTACAAAAGTGCCAAAGTGCTTGAAAGGGAAAAGGATAGTCTTAACAACAAAGTGATAGAAGTGAAAATTCATGAGGGGAAAAAAAGGAGCCTCAACTCTTATTTCATACTACACACAAACATATCTTGAAATGAATCACAGGCCTTACTATAAGAGGTAAGTTTATAAAACTTCTAGAAGGAAACAGAAGAAAAATCTTCATGACTTTAGAGGTAGTCAAAGAATGCTTTAAAAAGCAGTAACAATTTTTAAAAGAAAAAAATTGGTAACTGACTTATCAAAAGAAAAAACATGCTTTTTAAAAGACATTATGAAAGCAAAATACAAACCTCAGAATGGGAGTAAAATATCATAATACATATAATCTGACACAGGACTTTACAACTCAGTGAGGCCATACAATAAAAATGTGCAAAAATTTGAATACACACTTCACAAAAGAACATACTTCACTTTTTAGCTATTATAAATAATTCATGTATAAGCTTTTGTGTAGGTATTTTCAGTTCTCTTGGGTATATATCTAGGAGTGAAATTGCTGGGTCATATGGTAATTATGTTTAACTTTTTGAGGAACTGCAAAATGTTTTACACAATAGCTGAGTCATTTTAAAACCCAAATAATGTATGAAGATTCCAATATTTCTGCATCCTCGCCAACTTATTATTTGTCTTTTTCATTCTAGCCAGCCTAGTGGATGTGAAATGGTATTTTATTGTGGTTTGCCTTTGGATTTCCTTAATGACTAATAATGTTGAGCATCTTTTCATGTGCTTACTGGCATTTATATCTTCTTTGGAGAAATGGCTATTTGGATGTTTCCCATTTCTTAATTGGGTTGTCTTTCCACTGTTGAGCTATTTATATATTTTGGATATGTAATCCTTATGATATATAACTTGAAAATATCTTCTATCTGTAGGTTGTCTTTTTACTTTCTTGATAGTGTCCTTTGAAGCACAAAAGGCTTACATTTTTGATGAAGCACAATTTATATATTTTTCCTTTGGCTGCTTGCTGCTTGTCATATCTAAGAAACCATTGCCTAAGCCAAGGTCATGAAAATTTATACCTATGTAAATCTCAGATTTTCATAGTTTAGCTTTTACATGTAGGTCTATGATTCATTTTGAGTTAATTTTTGAATACAGTGTAAGGTAAGGTTTCAATTTCAATCTTTTGCATGTGGATATCCAGCTGTGTCTGTACCATTTGTTGAAAATACCATTCTTTCCCCCATTGAACTGTCTTGGCACCTAAAGTTGATTTTTAAAGATAAGAACAACAACAACAAAAATCATTGCAATGCTTGGGGGAGGTCTCCACTAGAAGGGCCCCATACCTGTACCCCTGAGGTCAGAAAGTTTCCACTACCACCCCAAGGTCAGGAAGGCACTGCCAAAGTCACAAATCTCCTACGTCTGGTTAAAAGCAGTGGAATGCAGCAGAATCTTGTCCACCCCTGAAAAAACTCACTTCTGCCAAAGCCTGCTCACCACTGCTGGCAGACGATGAACATCTTTTGCTTTTGTTCAGGTTTCCAATTAGCAAATGATAGTTCTTTCCTTGGAATGACAGAAAATTAGGAGGCTCGTAACAGAGTAAGAGCTTCCTGGTCTTTACTGAGAGAAAGGACAATACATGTTTATATGAAAGAAATATGAATGTGTATGTCCTACCAATTTTATACATCACAAAGCATCCTGAGATCTAAAACACACATCTCACTAAAAGTAATGCTGCATGGCTGCTTTTTATATTTGATGCGTTAACTAAAAGTTATATGAGACTTATGAAATCTAGTCAAATTTATATAAATATTCTGGAGTTACTCTAGAAATCTGGATTATTCTGACAATACCTCCCAAATCATATTAGACACTAAGAACCTATAATCTGAACGTTATAAAGTATATAATGAGACTATAATTAGGATAAATTGGGACAAGACTTAATTTTAATAAAAGAGAACAGTACTTTTCTCTGTTCACATTGTACTACACGGATTAATTTTTTACTTTTAACTGTTTGAAATGTTTACTAAAAACAAAATACTCTAATAATAAGTGGTAATAGAGATATTAAAACATGCAGTCATAAAAGCGTTCTGAAAATTTAAGGCCAAGTACAACCGTGACTTTAGATTATCAGTAATCTTTTCATGTCAACAAAACCTTCTGTTGCTGTTTTTGTAAAAGGGTGGGTAAAAACTCTACTTCCCCAGGTTACCAATCCTTTTACTACAGCTCAAAATCATAGGGCTTCATTGTAATACTTATTACTATGATTTCAATTTAATTTTGGAAGTGAAACTTATATAAGTCTAATGTTGTAACTAATGTCATACTTGCTTTATATTACACTATTAAAATGGATAATGCACTTCAGAAACTGAAGTGTGTAGTACATTTTCATATCAAAAACACCCACAAACTAAAAAAGATATTTAAAATCTTTATTGTTTCATCATCAAAAGTTTTCTTTCCATAGAATAATGGCAATGAAGTATCAGTGCATGTTCTATGGAAAATTCATACCTCAAGTAACTAGCTTAGAAATCAAAGACAGCACTATGTCAAGCTAGTGTGCAAGATCAAAGACACAATGCCGCCAATGCAATCAGTATACAGAAAGAATATGCAGCTGTTAGAAAAGGAGTCTATGGCCAAGTGACTAAAACAGTTGCAGTGCACTGTACTGACATTCTAGAACAGAAAATGGGGAATGACTAAAGAATGTACTTCCTGCCAAAAAAAATCGAGATTACAGGCACTGAGTTCCCAATGGTTTCACCAGCTAATTCATGTGAAGCTGTACCTTCCTCTTTAAGGCTACAGCACTACTGTAAGCCATCTTCAGCCTAATATGTAAATGGGACAACTACATGCAGATATTTCATTCTGCTTCCCATCTCACAGCTAAAAGTAACAACTTGGGTGCCGCTGTATAAACCTGTGGCCTTTAGGCATCTTTAGTAAAAAGATGACCAAACCTAAAATTTGTTCCCATTTTCTTGAAAAATTTATAAAATAACAAAAGATATCTGTCATGATTACTCAGTTTTGTCTGAAGGCAAGACAATTTTTTATGAAAGTATACTGAATGATTATACAAACAAATGTCCTTAACAAAATACTGTCAGACCAATTTAAACATTTTCATAACTAGCTCCTGAAAAAAGTACTGATAACGGTGAGCTGCAAATAACCACTACAATCTGATCATGCCTGGTTACTGGGAATTTTCAGTTGGGTTTGTGTCTGAAGCTGGATTTGGCTACTTTGCATTAATTCACACAATAAATGCCATTTAAAAGGAAACAGCAGCTCTATCGTGATGAAATAAAAATGAAAACAATTGAAAGGTATACAGGAAACTTGTCTTAAATAGTTTTAAATTACATATAACATTAGAGAATAAGAACTACTATTACCATCGTCTAAATGTTAAATTGTTAATGCATGAATTATCTGCAGGATTAACAAGTCACTTGTTAATCATGCCAAGGCCTTGTGGGGCAGGGGGCACTCTGAATGTATGGCATAGCAATTTCTTTCCAGGTGAGTTAAACACCTCTGATTTAAAGTGTTATTAAACTATATTTGAAGTTATTTTACTTACTATATTCACTGTATAAAATAAGTTAAAAGGAGGGAGCAGGGAAAGGTTTTCTGTATATGTGATGCAAACATCTTTCCCATATCAGTAGTAGTTCCACAAATGTCCATTTTACCTATGGTAAAATATGAAAGGCTGATAAAAGATAAAAAATTTCCCTTATAAATAGAAACAGGACTCAAAAAATGAAATTTCAACATCGTTTCTTTCCACAATGCAACTCTTTAACTATCATAAACATAAATAAAAACCACATCTCAAAAATCTGTTTTTACACCCTTACCTTAAAGTTTAACAAAAAAATTCTTCAAACAATTGAGAAGAAAAGCACTCCTTTGTAGCAATTCCATAAAATAATTTTCAATTCACAAAACATCTGCTTACTGGCAAAATCAGCACGGGCATTAATGCTTGGCCCTTCTGAGGTATAAATGCAGCTATATACGTACTGAGTATATAGTCTATAAGGTATGCCAACAGTCCGAATGTTTGCATAAAATTGGGAGTGATGTCATCCTGACTGATTGAAACTTACTTTTATAACTTTTTGTAATAATGAAGGTTAAATAATCTTAAGAGAAAAGATATACTTTAGCCCAGTAATATCCAGCAGAAATCTAATTCCTAACCAATGCGAATGATTATTACATTAAAAAAATTTTTAACACTGCCTATTAATAAAAAAAAAACTGAACAAGAGAAACACATAAATATTTAAATTCAGCAGGACACCACAGGAAGCATACTATATAGATAAGTGTGAAATCAGTCAAGCTTTTTTTCCAAAAGAGAAAATCCTTTTAATCCTTTAGCAAGTCTCTGTGAAAATAGTATGCTTACAATAAAAGGGAGAAGGGAGTATCTAGAACACCCCAACAGGCTTGCTATACCATTCAGCATTGCTGCCCCATCTCCTGTGTGCATGGATGGCCAACAAATGACAAGTCCACTTGATAAGAGTTCAATAATTTCTTTCACCACTGCTGCCAGCTGAAGTCGTCATTGCTTCCAAAGACCAAGAAAAAGCCCAGTATAGTTGCAAAGATGACTGTGTTTCCTGTGAGAACAAGTGCACAAGCTCCCCACGCAATCTATGGAAATAAGATATAAACAGTCAGTTAATAGACATATGAAAACAAAAAGAAAATGAAAAGCAAATCAAGGCTCTAGTTGTATGCCAAGCATGATCTAAAACACTACTGAACACTTAATAGTACCTCTATTTTACTGTTTGTATTTATCTCTAGTTCCTTTAAAAAGACAAAGTCATGGAAAGATGATTAACTATTCAAAAGAAGCTTGTTGCCTTCTGGGCTATGAGGAGGCAGCATAGAATTCTACAATTTTCTGTTTATAAAGAAATTTGCTCCAACTCTTCTTTAGTGAATCTAAAATTTTATCTAGAGAGATTAAAAAACAAAAACCAACAAAAAAAACCCAATATACAGAGAGCAGATTACATTGACAATATCAGAGGTGAAAACATACTCATGTACAATCCTTTAAAAGGGCAGGAGCAGTATGAAAGGGTGGCCAGTCCCCATCTTTTCTGTCTTCTCTACTTCCTTAGAGATGAAAGAGTGAACCTATGACTGGGGAGTTTGGGAGGAAGAGCTGAGTATAGGTAACCCAGCCTTCTCCTTTGTACTTCCCCACCTGCAAAGAACACAAGCTCTCCTTGGGTCTTCCCTGTTCCGAGCTGTACAGCACAGGTCTGCGGTTGTTCAGCACCTGGTTGATTAGCTTTTGTGACCAATTCTGACAGCAAAGTATCGGTAAGCCAACCATGCTGCACACCTGAGCCATGCTCTCCGATACCATTTTTATCAGTTAACAACAAAAGTACGTTTCTAAAATCTCTATCCTAGAGGCTCCCTTGTCTCATCACTTTTTCATGTCATTTTAACAAAAATTTTTTCATGAAAAAAACTTTTCATTAGTGAAGAATGTGTTCACTTACCAGGTGTGCTCTGGCAAATACAATAGGGAGTCCGAAAGCTGAGACAACAATGCCTGTTGTAAGAAATATGGCAAGTTCCTTACAAGCGTTACTCATAGCATCTGTATCATCCACTAGTCTTCTTGCTATGCAGTATGGAATAGGCGAAAGGATGTAAAAAAACAGAACAAAGAGGGGCCAGTATTGGCTAGAAAAAGGAAAAAATAAGTTAAGGTAGTTTTGCTATTTATGTCATTTTCCAACACATAAAATATGCTTTTTAAAAATAAGGACCAAAGGAATAATAATTGCAATGTACAAAACATGACACAACTTAAACATAAGCTATAACCTGAACACCAAAAAGAGGAACATTCAGAATCATAGTATTCCCATTGTTAATTATGATACAATTAGTAAAATATTTCTTATATTAAAAGAAAATGCTTGCCGAAACCGGTTTGGCTCAGTGGATAGAGCGTCGGCCTGCGGACTGAAAGGTCCCAGGTTCGATTCCGGTCAAGGGCATGTACCTTGGTTGCGGGCATATCCCCAGTAGGAGATGTGCAGGAGGCAGCTGATCGATGTTTCTCTCATCGATGTTTCTGGCTCTCTATCTCTCTCCCTTCCTCTCTGTAAAAAATCAATAAAATATATTAAAAAAAAAAGAAAGAAAAAAAAAAAGAAAATGCTTTATAAATTAAAACAGTTGGAATCAAGGCCTAAAACTTAAACTATATTTTATTTTAGGTTATAAATACAGAGGCATACGGAAAATGGGAATGTTATCACAGTGATTTTTAAATTCAAAAGTCATGCCCTTGACTTCAATGACATCCTGCCTCAGCATAGAGCTGGAACACCTCCAAACTTTTTTTAGGTCACTAGGAACTCCTCAAATATAAAAAATCAAAGTAGAGAAAATGAACTGAAAGTAATACTGAAAACTTTAAGCCAGAATATAGAATTGATTACAATAAAAATAGATGGCTTTTAGCCTGTAGTTCAGCTACTGTATTGTCATTTTCTGGTTATAATAATAAAATTATAGTTATGTGAGACAGTATCACTGAGGGGAAACTGTGTGAAGGGTACAGGGGACTGTTCTGTACTATTTTTGCAAATTCCGATAGTCCATAATTATTTTAAAATACAAGGATAAAATACACATATGATTGAAGATTCATTCATACAGGCTTATACTAAGCAAAGATTTATCTATGTTTTTACTAAAAATCTTTTCCTAGATATTTTGAGACTAGAAAAAAATTACAAATGAACATATGCTTAAGAAAAAAACTCAAACAATACAAAAGCACAAAAAGAGAAAACTCAAAGTTGCCCACATCTCCTCTGCTTTTTCCTTCCTACTCTCCTATTAAGCTTCTTGTGGATCGTTCCATCTTTCTATTTGATAAAAACTTTAAAATTACGAATGAATCGCTGCACTTTTCCATTTAACAATATATCTTGAACTTTACATATTAGCAATTACAGCTCTTCCTCATTCTTTTTAAGATGGTTTCTCAGGATTACTTCTACAGCAGTAAAAACAAATTTTTTGAGCTTTAAAAGCAGAAAAATGTTATTCTTATATATGCAAAAAACCCCCCACAAACATTTTACATACTTGTATATTGGAAGGGCACATCCAAGCATCAAAAACATCAGCCCAATTGCTCCTCCAAAGGACAAACTAATCAAAGCTGCAAAGTAAATAAAAAGTCAAGTAGAAATAGTAATTAAACTAAATCAATTATTATTTTTATTATTATTAGCAGTCTGAACATTACTTGTAATCTCAGAAGTAAAAAGCAAAACAATACACACAAAACCAAATGTACTGAAAGTGAGTTATCTTTCAAAGTGTAAGTTACCTAGTCACACAATATGTCTTCTATAGCATCTTCAAGGCAAAACGAAGCAATATTGATTTTCAAATTGCTATCACACCACTGACTTCCCTGGCTCCCTTCTCAATCTACAAGATCAATGCTCCTCCAGACATTAGTATTATATTTACTCCACAGATCACTATAGTTTTGAAAAGCAATTATGTGGAGAAACTCCGCACTGTCAGCTTTACTGGACTTGTCCTCTGGGAAAATCTGTCTGGCTCAGCTTTTGCTTCTTATACATTGCAAATGTACACAAAACTGGTAAGATAGTTTCTAAAGTTATACACAGATACTTATACAAAGCATTGTATTTTATAAAGGGTTTTCACATATATCAGTAAATAGAAACAACTTCCTTGAATAGTTAATCAATAGCCTAGAATTAAGCAAATAAATAAATGATCAATTTATTTCCAGTTCTATATAATAGGTATTTCTGCAACTATGTGCCTAAAAGAATAACATGTCTTTTTTTTAGTGATGTAGTTAAAATTCCAAAGATTTGCAGAAGACCTAAAAGTTGTCAAGACAAAAATCTAACATATACAAACCAAAATTAATTATAAAGGGGTTAGAATCAGGGGTGGGCAAACTTTTTGACTCGAGGGCCACAATGGGTTCTTAAACTGGACCGGAGGGCCAGAACAAAAGCATGGATGGAGTGTTTGTGTGAACTAATATAAATTCAAAGTAAACATCATTACATAAAAGGGTACGGTCTTTTTTTTTTTTAGTTTTATTCATTTCAAACGGGCCGGATCCGGCCCGTGGGCCGTAGTTTGCCCACGGCTGGGTTAGATGTTGCCAAGTACTACTGATATACTTCTCTGAATTAAAGTGAGCAAAATCAAGGAATCCCATGGACATGGTGGCCTACCACATTTAGTTTTCATTTAGATCATTGATGCAGGGCATATCAACCCTGAACACATTTACTTAGTCCAGTGGTTCTCAACCTTCCTAATGCCGTGACCCTTTAATACAGTTCCTCATGTTGTGGTGACCCCCAACCATAAAATTATTTTCGTTGCTACTTCATAACTGTAATTTTGCTACTGTTATGAATCGTAATGTAAATATCTGATATGCAGGATGTATTGAGGCGACTCCTGTGAAAGGGTCGTTAGACCCCCAAAGGGGTCATGACCCACAGGTTGAGAACCGCTGACTTAGTCCTTAATGCAATAATATTTTCAGTGACTGAAAGAAAACTTTGCATTTTAATTTTACAGTAAATGAGGAAGTTTACAAGGGAATGCAATGTAAATGATTAGGGAAATACTGAATTTACCATCTGTTTTGTTCAGTTAAATATAGGTCTTCAAAATCTGTCCTGTGTATGTCCCCTGAACACATATCAATCACAACAGGCTGCTCACCCTTGCCCTCTGCACTCCAGTGACACTGGCACTCTCTCCTTTTCTGGGAATCAGCAGGTTCCCTCGTCTATGTGGTCGTTGCACATGTTGTCTCTCCTACCTCAGACACAGCTTTATTCATTCATTTCATTCAAAAAATATTTACTGAGCACCAAATAGGTAACAGGGGCTGGGGATATGTTAATAAATGAGATAAGGGGAGAAACCAAGATGGCGGCATAGGTAAACACCGGAGATTGCTGCCTCGCACAACCACTTCAAAAATACAACTAAAAGATGGAACGGACATCATCCAGAACCACAGGAAGGCTGGCTGAGTGGAAATTCTACAACTAGAAGCAAAGAGAAAAGCATACCGAGACTCAGAGGAGGCGCAGTGCGGAGGTGAAATAGTAAGGTGCGGAGGTGCATGCGGAGCGGGCTGGCGGCTAAGGGCGCAGTTGTCGTTTTCAATCGGGAGGGAGTCTCAGGCTCTGAGCTCCAGTTCCGGGCGAGTCTCTAGGGACCCAGACTCATACGGGAGAAGCGGGACTGTCTGGCATCGGTCAGAACCCAAGGGCAGCTTTCTCTCCAAGGGGCTTGCAGCGATTAATGGGACACTAAGAAGCAGAGTCTCTGAGGGCAAGTCTGAGAGCAGCCATAATCTGTCTGGCAGTCAGAACCCAAGGGCAGCTTTCTCTCCAAGGGGCTTGCAGCGATTAATGGGACACTAAGAAGCAGAGTCTCTGAGGGCAGCAAGGAGAGCAGCCATAATTGCTAACCCCGCCCTGTTGATCCCGTGGGACCCGCCCC